TGTATGTGTGTGTGTGTGCGCGTGTGTGTGTGTGTGTGTGTGTGTGTGTGTGTGCGTGTGTGTGCGTGCGTGTGTGCGTGTGTGTGTGTTTATGTGTGCGCGCACAGAAAAACGTTTTTATTGAATTTACTCAATTTTACATTTTTGAAGTAAACCATCTACATCTACTTAAAAAAAAATTCTGTATCCATCTCGTTTTATTTCGTGCAATCATTTGACGAAACAAAATGAAGTGAATTCAACACACCATTTTTTTTTCATTGTCTATATATGTATCTCAGTTTATTGTGAATGTGTGTTTATCAGGGGCGGGATGATCCAGACATGCGAGCAGTACCAGTTTGTACATCACGTCCTCAGCCTGTATGAAAAGCAACTGTCTCACGCCTCTGAAGAGTAGTGCTTGCACCCCAGCCACGCCCACACCGAGACACGCCACTGTACACTGTACCGCTTCTGGCGGTATGCACCACTGTACCAAGCATTATGTCATATGTCACCCTTTAAAAAAAGGTCACATCATCATCTTCATCAATGACAGATTCATGCAGGCTTCTTGAACAGTAACCTGTAATTGTTCCAACAATAAAGTAGGCATGTCAACTGCTACATAATTATCCTACTTACCCAAAATATTCTCATTTGCCATCCTGAGGTTATTACATTTATCTGCATGAGAAACCACAGATTCATGAGCTAGCATCCGGCGCTGGTGTGTGCATTTAGGGTTAAAAACCTTCTACAGGCATTAATTGGAATTAATAGGAATTACTGAGAATCAACCAAAATAAATGGAAATTAAGTTTAGCATTAGGAAAATAATCATATTCATATTAAATGTTGAATTTAGAACAAACTGAAATTTCAAAAATGCAGCGTCATGTAGTTTCAACACAGATTGGATTAAACTACAAGTCACTCATTATTTGAAGTCAAACGTTTTTTGTTTTTTTGTTTTTAGAGATTATTTATTTTGCTGCATATCTACTTATGACAACAGAAAATGTTTTGTCATTATTATTTTTTTTAATGAAAGTACTCCAAATTTCCTGACAATCGCAAGCATGAAGAGTGTCCAACACTGTTTTCAGAATTCTTTAGCTGGACTTCCTATAGTTTTTTTTTTTTTTTTTAATGAATTAAAAACAAGCACTACCATATCACAGCATTACATTTACACTAAATCTTGCTTGGTTAATGTTTTCCATCATGTCTTATTCTTATGATTTTAAAGAAACACACACACAAGTCCTGTTTCTGTATTTGATACATTCAGGAGCCACCTCATCTTCAGGTTGCATGGTGCTAAGTGTTCCTTCAAGGCATGTGCAATGTAATGGAACAAAGGAATGTAAAACAGTTAGGTATTTATTGAACAAATTAGGATTTTTGTGCAACCTACAGTACACTAGTTCTACCACGCTGCCTGTGCAGTTCTCATGGTTCATGATGTTTACCATGTTAAGGCCACATCGACAAACTATCAGAGTCTTCACAGAGCCAGCAAGGTTGCGAGGGAGCCGCAGCTCAAGCCAAATGCTACGTGTTCAGAAAGACCTTCTGTGCTTGTGAAAATCCCGTTTATGTTGTGCTCCTTCGAGCCACTTGCTCTGTGATGCCTCTGCTCTCAATCGTAGCTTCAACACATGCGAAAGTTAGACGCCCATGATTGTTGTATAGACAGGTCTAGCCGAATCTGTGTGAAGCACAATATAACAACTAAGGTTGTCACTCTTATGTTCAGCTGTAAAGCTTTTGTTTTTCCTTTCCTGTATCGTTTAACGGATTGCATGTGCTGTATGGGACTCCGTCTGTCCACAATCAAAGCGACGTGATGGGTTGTCCTGCTTTTTGTTGTGTAAAATGGCGTTAAAGCCTACTATATTGCTTGCTCTCAGCCAATGCTTTTGATACAGTTTGCTTTTTGTGAAATCAACCAGAGATATTTTTAGAACATTTTGATACAATCCTTTTGTGTAGATGCCTTGTGTGCATTTTCATCTCCACCATGATGTACATACATAGGTCATACTGTGAATTACGACGAACATAAATTTTTATTGCAAGATTGAAGACAGAACAAAATGTGACAAGATATCTTACAGTACACCAAAATTAATTATGTTCAGTCTTCAGTAGTATTATATTCTGTACTTAAGCTTTGCTCTAATATGCTTTGCTGTTTGTGTTAGTTTTTACTGTTTTGTTTTTCAGAGAATTTTACCTCAGACTGAGTAACACAGTCCCCAGTGCAGTCCATCTTGGACTCTCAAACACATCAAAAGGAATTGCTATGTGCAAGGCAGCTAAAACAGTTCAGACCTACATATTTTTCCTTAGAAAAAAAGGCTAAATCTGTTGCAACGATAGAATTGAAAGTGTAGATCCCAGCAAAATAACATTTCTGTTTGTCACTTTACCGAATACTCTGTCTACTGAAATTCACAAAAAATGTTTTACTTGTTTAAAATGCTTACATTATCTCATTGTAAGAATACAGGAAGAAATGATTAAATAAGAATAGCAAAATAGTCAAAATACAGAAAACCAGCAATCAGTATTCCTTTCCTCTGCAACAGTATTGCTTTAAGTTGTGAATTTTTGCGAATAAAAATCGATTTTCATGAACCTGTATTGTTTTCTATTGGATTTTATTCACATGAAAATATTCACATGGCCACTATTAAGCCGCTTTTTTTTTAGGTTTTCACCATAACCGAGGGACACTAACTTGTACAACAACGGCGCAGTTATATAAAAGTGCCACTAGAGGTCAGTATACCAAAATATAAAGGAATTGGTTTTGGTCACACTGCACCATCAACCAGCTCGTCACTTGCCAACAATATCTTTGTGTCTCAGTACTTAAATATTATTTATTCATTTGTGTATTTTTTTAATGTAATTTTAAAAATATACGTCGGGTTTACATGTATAGTTGTCTTAAAATTGATAGCCCATCCATTGTCTGTATCACATGCCTGATATATAATGTATATTTTTGGAACGTGGGAGGAATACCCACAGAAAACCCATACAAGCATGGGGAGAACATGTTAACTCCACACATCCACACTGCAAGGCGAGGACTTAGCCGAAATTCGAACCACAAATCTCAGAACAGAAACAATAAAAATTAATTAATCAATAACAGTAATGTTCTTATTTTGATAAATGTTGGGGGGGGGGGGTTCTCTGCATCGTATACTGTACTGACATACATTCATTATTTAATACAGAGCAGGCTCACAGTTTAAGATAACTAATCTCCTCCTTAGGGCCCAGTGACCACAAGTGGGCCCTCAAGAGCAATTAAAACCCATCACAGCCTCAAGTAGTCTTTTTCTATGTCATTTTAATTTTATCGACAAAGAACAGCGTAATACTGTATCCAGCCATTCGTTTTCTATACAGCTTTCTCTCACTAGAGGTGTGGGTACGTTGGAGCCTATCCCAGTTGACTTAAGGCAAAAGCAGGAGATACCTTGTACCGTACTTAGTCACGAGCCATTTACAGGGCTCATATAGATAAACAATCACTCACACTCACATTCTTACCGAAGAACAATTTAGAGACTTCAATTAATCTAACATGCATGCTTCTGGAATGTAGGAGGAACCGGTATCCCAGCAGAAACGTAACACAGGAAGGCCCAAGCCCAGAGAGCTGTGAACTGCTAACCACAAATCTACTGCCACAGAGTAACATTAAGAAATGTTTTCAATTTTTTTTTTAACTAAAGCTTTTGCACATTGTCACATGATTTTACCTAGCGCTAATTACTCAACTTTCTTCATTTGTATTCTAAAACAATTTTGTCACCCTGCTACAGGTGCCTCTGTTCAGTTACGTCAGTTAAAGGTGAAGTCTGATGTACAACCTGCTAGCCAGATTTGAATGTACTGTGATTTCACTTTCCCTGACCGCACCCTCATTCTCCTGACTGAAGCTACACCCCTTACGAACATGCACGTGACACGCAGCAGCTATACGTACACTCTGCACTGTGTACAAGCTGACGTTAGCCAAGACTGCTGTCTTGGAAATAGGCCTATGGCTCATTCAAATTGGAAAGTTGCCAAACGCGAAATGTTACCGGTTTGACATTGCATTTCTTTTTAATGTAAACTCAATTACAAAATAGAAGAGAGGTAATAAATTTACCTGACAACACAGTGAGAACAAAGACAAGGTCGTTGTTATCCAGGCCAAGCGATGAAGCAGCAATTACATATATTTAGTTTTTATTTATTGTAAGGATTGCCCAGTTCCTTCATTTGAACTTTTGTTGCTAACCGGAGTATAATAATCTGCCCAAAACTATGAAAGTGACGGAGCTGTGTGCCGGTAGGCCAGTAGACAAGGTGTGTGTGTAAGAATGTGTGGTGTGCACAGAAAAATGTTGACCCATTATTTGGTCACATTTGTCTCTACAGTCTGTGATTGGTCAGTTTTAGCGTTTAGAAATAATAATTAAAAATTAAATTAGAGGCATAAGATGAGTGCATAGAGGGCTGATTTTTCAAAAGATCATTTTAATGATATTCAACTGTCAGGTCATACAGACAGTTAAAACATACATGAAAAAAAACATGTTTTTCTTCTTTTTTTGAAACTTCAGGCTCTATCTATCTTTGAAGCTCATATCTTACTGATCACCCAAGGTTTGCATGTGTGTGTAAATGTTTTTTCTTCTATGTCAGATGGTTTGTTCAATGTTGTAAACGGAATCAAAGACGTTTCCAAACAATTTTAATGATCTCTCATTTTGAACATGATAAATATTTGATGGTGACAAGAAAAACTGTTTATAGCCATAAAACTGTTTGGGAATGTCTGGCGAATGGCTTCACAACTGTGCAATATTGACCAAACAATGAGAAAACAACTACTGTACAGTACATTCGTTACTTGCGGGCACACACATGAAAACCTTCACCACTCAAGATACAGCTTAGTGGGGAAGTCAAGCCCCCATATTAAAAATGTTTTTTTTTTTAATAATAATACACGAACATAACATGACAAAACCCAGAAAACAGGGGAGTCGTGATTGGTCGTTACCTGAGCCCTTTGAAACTGAGATGTAATTCTTAGGAAATGTGGAAAAAGTGGAAAAATGTCAGCCCCCTGAGATGGATAAAAACAGGTGGATTTTGATGCTTAATTCATATTCTACCAATATTAATGCAAAGAAAATGTTTGACTTGACTTCCCCTTTAAGTATTTACATGATTTATTGTTATTATTTTATAGTGATTTTAATTTTTTTTTTCCTGGCACTTCATATTTATTGCGGTTGCATTTTTTTTTAAAGATAAAAACAATAAACTGGATGGCACATTTACAGTCAGTACATAGTTCTTGGTTTATTTTCGTTGCTTTTAGTTGGCCTCAATTATATGCAGTATCTCATTATTAAATTGTTTAATTAAAGTAAACCAAGTCTGCTCTTGTGGTGTATATGTATTTAATTAATGAATTAATTTCCTTTATTATGACAGTTTGAGGGAAACTTAACATTGTTATGATCAATAATCAACATTAAAGTGAAATTTTGCTATGGGCGTCCCATGGAGGCGGGGCTGCGTGTTTACTTAATGAAATGACCGTGAAAGACAATTGTGGACGGGTTTTTTTCCATGTCGCAACGTAGGCTTTTACTAAGTCACGAAAGAAAGAACACAGATACGTTTTCAATCTCATTCAAATAGAGCTGTATCGAGAGCGTTACTTATTACCATGAACGACACTCGTCACGCTTAAGGGTTTGTCTCCTTAAAAAAAAAAAAAAAAAGTCGCGCAGGCCCTTTAATCTGTGTCTTTGACGTCATTCAGCCCTCGAGCAGCGAACGCTGATTGGCTGGAAATGACGTAAACCTCATATTTTCCTATTTTTTTTTCTTCCTCGCTACTAAACCATGACCTCATCGCGTTAGTTCACGAAAGTGCGAAAGTGTACCTTTTGTAACCACCCCTACACCCCCGTTAACCAACACATATGCACGTTTTAGCTTGCTGCATAGTTGTGAAGGTTTCTTAGTCGCTTGTTTTATTTGTCTTTTTGTTGTTTTGTTTTTCAAAACGATTTCAATGTGTAGTCGCGCTTTCATGTGCGGATCGCTCCTGGCGCTGTCACCCCGTGTCAGCTGCGCTGTGCCCCGGGAAACCGGCGGCCAAGAGCGGCCGCTCTCATGACGACCCCGCCGCGTTCCCCCGTCGCACGGAGGCCGTTCAACAACTGCAGGACACAGACAGGAGCCTGAGGTAAAGTGTGCTTGTGTGTTGTGTCGCACACCATCCTGCTAGCTCCAGCTAGCTGTCGTTAGCTGGGTGATTTTTACACCCCCCCTGCCATTCCCTCCTCCCTCCTCTCCCATCCATTGCCAGTGCGCGCGTGCGTCTCCTTCGATGGGAATTAAACACGCTCAAAATGATCGACTCGTGTATTTTTGGACAGAAATTATTCGGTTAACAGCCGCCGGTGGCAAGGTAAGCGTACCATCATTCCTATTTTGGGGCACACTAATGCTTTTATCCAGAAGCAAGCAGTGAGATTAATGGCGTGTGTTATTTTTGCATGCGGACATAATCACAACAAACACACGACAGGTTCCCTCGACTGTATATGAACCTTCAGCAAATCAGCTCATTGCGGTGAAATCATAGCAACTGCAAACGCCCTATGCTGAATTTTGTGAAGGTCGATTTATTGCAATGGCCGCATATCCCCTATCTTTGACTATGTTGTCTGTCAAGCAGGCCTCTGTATCCACTTTTTGTGTGTTTCCAAATGTTGCAGATATGGGGCGAGTGCACGCTTTGACGTTTGAATGGCGAACTTGATGGATTGTGAATCAGTATGCAATGTCACTATTAGTCTGATGCTGCGGAATCATAGCAGTGGTATCCCCGCATTCAAGAAATAGTATTTTTACGTTTTTAATACACAAAAGCCAATACAAATTCCATTGCAAACACACTAATAATGCTATCATTCAACCCCATAATAATAATAATAATAATATAATTAAGTAACGCTATAATACTATGGCGATGGCCACACTGAAGGGTGTGATACTAACTAAATTGTTATTAAAACCAACTTTGTAAATTAACGGACAATTGTCAGTAGTCTGCCTTCCGAGCTCCCTCCCCTGCACTCATCGCATTTATATACACATACGAAATGTATCGCATTAAATAAGAGCATTTCTCATATTGGAGGATAAATAACATTATTACAAAAAAAAAAAAAAACCACACACACACACACACACACAAACAGTTACCTTTCTCTTCCAATAGACAATACACTACAATACCGTAGTTTACAATCATTTTTTTCCTCAATATAACGACTTAAAACAAATAAACCACATCGCTGTCACCAGAGATGCTAGTACAGTGGCTCCTCCCTTTCTGTGTATGCTGTTCCACTCATTCATAACCAATCTAGGAAAAAAACAAAAACAAAACAATGTCTGTATTGAAACGAACCACTCAGCAATGCAGTGGTGGTTAATGCCGCCTCTTAAAGTCCAGTTTTTCTTGAAAAGTGCACCTTGAAAGTGACTTTTTAATCATGGTGTGATATCATCCTCCATCGCACATCAAGCTTAGTGCACTTT